CCTTACTCATCATAGATGATTTCTCAATCCCCACTAACCAGCATTTTGATTGTTTCACTAAAGCAAAGGTTTCGCTTTCAATGGTGCTGGTCTCCTGTTAATCATAGTTGAGTCTTTAATCCTAGCTGACCAGAAGCCAGATTCTTAGTTTAAACATATCACACAAACAGCATGATAGAGTCTTTTGAGGGGCTGACTCTCAAACTCTCCTCTGAAACTTAACAAGCCAAATCTTCATCATCTGAATTTCTCTCAGCATTATCTTCCAAGCTCCCACAGAATATACCATTAAGTTTCTTCCCAACAATACGGTCAAGTCTATTACAGCAATACAATACCCCATGTTCACAATACCAATCTGTTTTAGTTTACTTTCTGTTGCTGAGATAAAATACTGACGAAAAGCAACTTGTAGAGGAAATGGTTTTTTTTTTTTTGCCTTATCTTTCCCAATCACAATTCATCATTGAGGAAAGTATCAATGCAGGAATTAACTCAGAGACTGTCTTAGTTAGGGTTGCTATGGTTCTGATGAAACACTGTGACCAAAGGAACTTGGAGAGGAAAGGGTTTAACTGGCTTACACTTCCACATCATAGTTCATCATCAAAGGAAGTCAAGACAGGACTTTAAACAGGAACTTGGAGGTGACACTGATGACCATGGAGGAACACTGCTTACTGGCTTGCTCCTCATGGCTTGTTTAGCCTGCTTTTTTATAGAATCCAGGACCACCAGCCCAGGGATGGCACCACCCACAGTGGAATGGACCTCCCTGTTGACCGAGTTTTCTGCCCCACCTGGTCCTGCAGTTGTTCAGTCCCAAAGAATCACATAGAGGTCTACATTAATTATAAACTGATTGGCCTAGTAGCTCAGGCTTCTTATTAGCTCTTATAACTTATATTAGCCCACAAATCTTGTCTGTGTTAGCCACATAGCTTGGTACCTTTTTTGGTGAGGCAGTCACATCTTGCTTGCTCTGTGTCTGGCTTCCTTTGTCTCTGAGTAACAACTGCAGACTGACTCTTTCCTCCTCCCAGAATTCTCTTATTCTCATTGTCCCACCTCTACTTCCAGCCTGGTTGCCCCACCTAAACTTTCTGCCTGGCAATGGGCCAATCAGCATTTTATTTACCAAATGCAAGAAACACAACTTTACAGGGTAAAGCCATTGTCCCACAGCACTTCCCCCACCAATTACCAACTAGAAAATATCATACAGGCCTGCCTACACCAGATCTTATACAGACATTTTCTCAGTTGAGATTCTCTCCTCTCAAATGACTTTAGCTTATATCAAGTTGACACAAGACTACCCAGCACAGAGACCGTTAAGAAATGCTGCCTAATGGTTTGCTCTCCATGGATGTCTCTTTCTGCTTTTATACACAACTCAGAACTACCTGTCCAATGATGGCATTGCCCACAGAGGCCTGAACCTTACCAAATAAGCCATTTACCAAACAAAATATCCCATAGACATGGCCACAGGTCAGTCTGATCAAGGTAATTTCTTGAGATTCCCTCTTCCCAGATAACTGTAAGTTGTGTTGTGTTGACAAAACAGTAAGTACAGCTTCCCTGGTTGACAACTATTCTTCTAGATCATTGTTTTAAAGGTTAAAAAAATAACTCATGTGCACACATGACCAGTATAATTCTACTTACACCCTCTCAGTATTTTCTCCTTCACCATTTCATCCTTTCCTTTGAATTATTTGATTTGTTCTGTTTATTTTGAGATAGGGATCTCACTATATTCTGAAGACTTCAAGAACCCTCTCCATCAGCTTCCTGACTAACTGGATCCATAGGCTTGTACCATGTACCCAGCTCTTAGAATTTCTGTCTTTGAAATTTCCATTCAGTTTCCAAAGCTGGAAAATTTACCTAAAAATATTTATACTAGGTTAGTATGTAGCAGGCATTCTTCTGCTGTGGGAGCATGTGGCAAGTGAGATCAATGACTCCTTCCAGCACGATGCCATTTTAAACCATCATCAGTCAATATTTGGTAGTCTGTGTTATGGGAAAGGCTAAGAAGAATGTGTGTGGTCCTTGTTTTCTTTAACTGTCAGTTATGAAACAACTAAGAGATTAAGAACAGTTAAGTCATCATACAAAGCAGGAAGAGTTTCTAATTTTAACTTCAATAATTGTAGTAGGTGCTCTGAGAATTTGAAAGAAGTTGTGTCCAGTTCAAAGCCATGAGTCAGGCCATACTTTGGGCTGTGCCTAGGATTAGAAGAATCGGTAGGCGATAGAAGGGCAACCAGAAGTAGCAGGTATTTTAGGGTAGGAATATTACATTAGGCAAGTGGATAAGGCATGGGCAAAGAAAGTTCAGCCCTATAGAAGAAAGGCATCATTTGGACAGACCTATAACAGGCTAAGGCCAGAATCTGGTTATCAGCATCAGAAGTCTAATACTGAACCTCCAGTTGTTGAAAAATCATCAAAGTTTTAAAGCAACAGACCTTGGGGAAAGGATAATTTAGAATGATGTTTTGGGAGTTATCATATTTGCAAAACAAAATGCTGCAGAGAACAGAATGATACCTTGGTAGAATTATCTGCACTGGGCACGTATGACTTAGGAAGTAGTTGATGAGAGGAAATGATCTCTGGGAAGAATAAGGTAGAGTAAGAAGATAAAGATGTTAGAGAATAGATCTGGAGAAGAAATGCACCAGCATCCACCAGAAGATCGCAAACAACAGTTCTTGGGTATACAGAACCGTCAACCGTGTCCAATAAGAGTTCATCATCACTGGGTCATGCAAATGGACCAAGTGGTAGCACTGGCCCAGTGGTTGTACCAGGAAGGTCCACATGCCTCCAACAGCTGATCTTTCTGTTTGGATCTTCAGTCTCTGACTGTTTGTATCAATCATTTAACACATATATCTGATTATCATTTAATGTGGACCATGGACTTCTCCATGCATGTTCAAGTCTTATCTGTCTGACACGGGTACAATAAGCTACTTGTGGGGAGAGAACATAACACATGCCTTCCATGTTGTCCTCCCTCTCCATCGTGCCTGTACACTGCCACACCTCCAGGACTCAACTAGAAGTATTTTTAACTAAAGATAACATGAATATTCACCGGGGTACCTGGGTCAGGACTAAGTGAACAAGACCAAGGAAGGACACAGATGTGAATCCAGGGGTGACTGTTACTCAGAATGTGGTACAGGAGGTGACACGACCAGCAGCTCCCGACCTGTTAAAGACACAGAACCTCAGCTGCCTATCCAGCAAGGGACTCAGACTTCACTTTCAGAAGATTCCCGGGTTACTGCTCCCTATACACATATGTGTTCAAAAACAAAACTATGATAATATCAGCGATAGAAGAGGCTACAATGTGCTACCAAAGAAGTTGCCTGGACCAGGGAGAGAGAGCAGGTGATGTAGAGCGCATGCTGCATCCAACCTGATTCCTGCTCAGACTCATGGTCAATGTTGGAGTCCAGGCTCTTTGGAGATGGTGGAGAAAACAAAGACAAGGAGCAAATCCAGCTGCCAATCACAGCCTAGATGCATAATCCTGCCAAGAACCGCTACTACGTTTATGTATGAGAAGCAGTTCACAGATTGTATCTACTTAGCTGTGGGCTTTTTTTCTCCTGAGATTTTATAAATATCCTACTCTCCTGATGATCCCATTTATTCTCTTCCTATCTACCCAGCTGCAGGAACTTAGGGTACGATTCCGCATCCCATTCATTCTCTCAGTCTTAATCATGCAATGTCAAAATACATTTTTGGTTTAATCGAAAGACAAACCTGAAAAAAGCAAATGCAACTCTAATTCAAAATAGAAAGGGTTGTGACTAAGTGCTGTTTCAACGGCACCACTGTTGAAATCATTAGGCATCAGGCCAAAGCTCCCCAGAGAAAGGGCTCGATACACAGCAATGGCCACGTTCCATAAGATGAAGTCCACACAGGGCTCTACTCTCAGGTTAGAGCCTCGTCTTAGCTGGGGATATGTTCGTTGTTTGGATCGTCCTTTGATTTTCTTAAGTGAATCCAATACTACCATCTGGCGATATTATGGTACATCTTCAATTACGTGTGTGTGTGTGTGTGTGTGTGTGTGTGTGTGCGCGCACGTTCGTGCAGGCTCACACTCATGTGTTGAAGTATGTGTATGGGTTATGTACTTGTGCATGCATGTGGAGGCCAGACGTGGATGTCTGGCAGGTGACTCCCTCAATCACTTTTCACTTTTTTTTGAAACAAGGTCTTTCATTCAACAGGGAATTCATCCGTCCATTCTGCCAGGCTGGTTGACCAGCAGGCTCCGGGATCTGCTTCCCCAGTGCTAGGACTGCAGAAGCATGCTGCCACCCAGCTTTCCCCTGAATGCTGAGGACCTGAGCTCAGATTACCCACTGAGCCGGCTGCACAGCCCTTGTCTTTCGTTATCTTCAACAGCTTTATTACACACGGTTTCCCCGCCATGAAATTCACATGATACAAACAGAGGACATTCTCACATATCCCCTGCCGGCAAGCAATGCCTCATTAAGATGCATACATTAATAGAATATAGTTATTTCTTAAATTGCTAGGAATGTTGGACTTGGTTATTTTCCCCTTGATTAGCATATCCAAAAATCTTAGTTTTTATTAGTGGAAAATATATCTTGATAAAATTCTGTCTACTCAATTCAAAATGTGTGAAGGATGCAAATGCTATATTTCCAAGATGACTGGTTGTAAACACCATGGCAGGCCTTCAAATCTATTTCCTTGAAGCAACTGCATTAGGAAGAAAAGTTTATTTATTGTATCCACGTTGGAAATCCCAAAGCCTTGCAAATTACCGTTCCTTCAGATTTTCCTGATCCATTTTTTCCACCAGGTGTAATGCTTTATGAAGACTGCTGGGGTCTGTCAACATCTGTTGTTTTTCACGTCCGGGTTGGCATGAGGACCGAGACAGGTTTTTCTTTTTAAAACTTAGGAAGAAATGAACTTACATGCTCTCGCAGAACCTGGTCAGGGTGCTTGGTTTTTCCTGGTTGCGTCTTTGTCGAAACCAGCGTTGGATGCTCCGAACATCCCAGTCCAGTTGCTTGGAGAGCCCTTCCAATCGCTTCTCATCAGGATGCTATGAAATAAGGCACCAGAAAAAACATTTTTATCCATTTTTTTTACTTACACCATTTACAAGTTTTAGGCTACATATGGTTAAATTTCCCCTCTAATTTCTACTGCAGGCATTTCAATATTTATGACTGAGAATCTAGTCCATCCATTTGAAGCATGAACAAAGACAACACCTACATTACACATTATGAAACCAGACAGAAAAATAAGAATCTTGCCCCAATGCTTGCATATTTTCTTATCAGCAACTAAGAGAGGAAGAGCCAGCCAGCTGGCTGAGTAAGTCCCATCAGACTTCAAGGGAAGAATTTACAGAGACGTCAACACATACTTCACCTTCTCAGAGGAAAAAAAGAAAGTACATTTTTACTTTATAAACAGATAATGCAAAAAGCACAGGAAATTGCGCAGCCAAGATGTCATTTATAGCACCACGCACACATCCCCTTTCTCATCTTCTCCCCCCTGTCCTCACGTCCCCCACCTTTTCTTCCCTTGCCATCCCTTCTCACAACACACATCTTGTCTCACCAACACCACGTATTACCTCAGGGGCTTGCGTGGTGAAAGGCCATGAAGGCCTTGAGTCAACAGGCATAGACCCAGGTCCTCAGCCCACCATTCTGAGCTTTGGCCTCTTTAGCAGTACAAACAAGGGTGGTTTATCAACCCACACGGGACTTTGATGAGGACTGGGAAAATATATGCTAAACCGAGTCCTTGTCACCTCTCTTCTTTCTCTTTCCCTCCTCTCTTCGACATGTTGAAGAGCCTCTTGCCGACGGTCACGAGAGGGGGACCTACTGCGAATGAAACAAGCCAAGAGAGCTCCCTTACAGGATATATTGTTCACTGTAGTTCTCATGATCAGAGGAATAACCAAAAGGAAGGAGGGAGAAGACATATTTATTGGCCAGGCTGTAACAGAATCTACGCATAGGACCTAAAAGCATCTCGGCAATTCAAGGAGTCTGTGGCTCTGACAACTCATCTGTTAAAAATTCTCATTTGAGTGAGGAGATGAAACCTTTGGAGAAAGAGCAGGTCGCAAGGGTGGAGCTCTCAGGGTGAGATTTGATTGCTGCGGCTGCAGCCACTACTGCCTCCCTCCATCTCCCCCTTCCTTTACTCCTTCTCTCTCCTCCCACTCACCCCCCAAATGGACACTATGGGCACCCAGATCTCACACTTCCACACTTCACAAACCTTTACAAATGTGAGAGTTAAATGTCTGTTGCTTAAGCCCCTGGTCGATGGCATTCTATCATGGTGGCCTAAATCAACAGAGACAAACACATAACCCAAAAGCAGAGCAAATGGTAGCCAGTTACAAAGTGTTCTGATTTTGTTCCTATAAATGCAACTTGCCAACTTTCAGTTGGACATGTGCCTGAGTTCCTCTCAGTGGTAATAAGAGAATGAGCAATCTCCTTTTATGTCTTTCTTAATTGAAAATATGAGAGAGGAAGAGGGAGTTACTGCCTATAATATATATTGGTTATTCTACTAGCCTATAAAAATAAACATTTGAGGGTATTATAATATATATATGTATATTTATATATATATATAAAACATATTGTGACTATATTCACCCCACTACCCTCTACTCCCTTCCTTACTTTGCCTCTGAATTCCTTGTTCCTAACCAGTCCCCCAAAAGCTACACCATTGAAGAAAACGACACTGTCTCTAGAAGTGACCATAAACAGGCAAGAACAACTCAGGAAGGAGATGATATGTGGGGACAAGAAAAAAATCATTTTTTTTTTTTATTTCTGAGTGTACTAATAGTGGGAGAAAAAAAAATTCTAAGGTTCACAAATCATAAATTAAAAGCCATCTAATTCTAACACTGTCCCTGTTATCTTAATCCCCTTTCTTCCTTCGACAGGAAACCGCAGTCAATCTTTTCTTTTTTTTTTTTTTTTTTTTTTTGCGGCCAGGGTTATTTTGCATAAACAAAACTGAATACGTATTCTCATACCCCACCCAATCACACAAATTATTGCAGACTGTGGACTTTGCTCTGGACTTGGGGTTTTTCCTTTATAATGTGTCTTGGGTGGCTTCCAAATCAGTTGAGAGAGCACCGAAGTGTAAGAATAAACTGGAACTTTCTAGTCTGCTCTGCTCACTGACACGCGGTAGCACCCAGCCTCTAGAAGCGCTGCAACAACAGGCTTGGTGTGTTGTAGGGCATGGCGGGATTCATCCTGGATCCAAACATTGTAGGGCAAAGGGGTCTGTGCTTTTGTAATTTTTTTATATAGAAAATTTACTAATTAATTTAAACTCTCAAAAGAAAGAGCAGTCATGTCCCGAACCTCCACGCATCTTCCTCTTTTCCAGTCTGAGATGAAAAGCAGATTCTCAGTGTAGTTTTGATTTTCCCTTTGTCAGGAGAGAAATATCCTGTCCATATGTTTAGAACCATCCAGGCTTTGCTTCCAGGTGAAGAATAAACTTATGTACTGTCTAGCTTTACCCCCTTTAACATGAATATTTTCTAAATTTATTTGTAGGATTTCTTCATTTATTAGAGCAATTAAACATTTTTTCCTATTGGAAAGGTTTATTTTTAGCCAGTAGACTATATGTTGAAAGTCCAAGTTTTTTTTAAAAAAAACAACTATGCAGCTATTTACTAAAAATACATTTGAATTCACCAATCAGTTCTGCAATTATTACTAGAAATTATGACTAAAAATCTCTTCCAATAGTTTCAAGGTGCACTTTGGACACCTACTGGTATTCTGGGGGAAGCGGAAGGCTGGCCCTCCCCATGGCTACCCTGCATCCCGGCAGCTCCCTGCACCTTTCCCTGTGGAAACCTGACCCGCTTTTCCCCTGGTCTATTAGCCAGATCTCAGTAATATATGCGAAATTTTACTCAGAGTTATTTATATTTCTATGTGACAAGAACCTACACAACAAGTATTAGGTTCTTCAATCTAAAATTGGTATATATTTATTATATTATATCTAAAATTAATATAACATTTCTTAAGTTAATGTAAACGTTAATTAACATCTTTGTTCAGCTTGTCGTTGATGGCCCCCAAGAGTATTTGAATGTTTTCTGCCAGTACTTCTTGTACAAGGCTGGAATGGATACTCCTGTGGTGCTGTTCTTTTTGGGTTTTATTATAAATAATGACATCCTTTCCTATAATCTTTTAACTATTTCATAATTTACATATAAAAAGCCATTTAATTCTGGTAATTTTGCCCCCACATTTCTTTTTGCTTCTGTATAGTCTAATTGTCTTAATTTTAAAGGTATACAATAATAGTCTATTTCCAGCAAAACAAGCTCCATAAACATAAAGATCTTTAATATTGTACCTATACCGTAAAAAGACTTATAAATGCTTTTCAAATGAAAGAATATTTAAGGAGAAAATTTTGCTTCCTCCTTTCTAATTTTAATGACTTTCTCTCATATCTACTTGCTATCTCAAATACACATGAGCAACACGTGAAATCACCATTATTTCCTTCCCCTCCCTTTGTCCTCCCCGCCCAAGGCTGGTCAACAATATTATCTTTCTTAGAGCTTGCTCCTGCACTGCCAACTATGCCTCCACTGCTATTGGATTTGCCTGCACTGCTGATCAGCTGCCTCCCAACTATTAAGTGGTTCTGCCATCAGTAAATTTCCCACCATCCTCTCCTGCTCAGTTCGAGTTATCTGCACCCTTTTTATACTGTAAGAACACACACTGTTAAACATTCTGTTCCAACACCATCCCTCACAGTTCTTCCTCTCTTAGTTTTACAGTTTAAAATATATTCAAAATGCACAAACTTCCCCAGTAATCTTGTATAATCTTCTGGTTAGCTAAAATTAATGACAATTGTCTTAGAAAAAAAAAATGAAGACAAATTACAGAGAATCTGTCTACTATTTTATACAGGAATTATTTTATTATTTATGTGTGTGTGTGTGTGTGGTCTGTGTGTAAGAAGGAGAGAGAGAATGCATACGTGTATGTTTTCATGTACACGAGCAAGTGCCTTCATATCCCCACAGAGAACAAAGGATTCTGGAATGCCCCAGAACTGGTGGTCCAAGTGTTTATGAGCCGCTAACACGAGTCCTGGCAACTGAACTCTGGTCCTCTGGAAGAACAGTAAGCGCTCCTAGCCTCTGAGCCACTTCAGCAGCTCCTGCCTCTGACGTAACTAAACAGAGGGAAGGAGGCTCAGGACACCCTGGCTTGAGACTATAGTCATCATACCCTTTCTTACTGCAAAGGCTCTCGAGAGGTACCAGAGCACAGAGGAAGTAAAGGGTTAACTGAAATCGGGACTCCACTGTTTAGCTTCCATGCAGCTATCATGATGTGATGGAACTCTGTAGTGATGCGACTATTGGTGTATCACATGCATCGTGAGCAACACCTCTCCGGTGCTCTATCGGAAGTCCGATAAAATCACAGGTCTCACCAAGATGGACATGGGCGAAAGAGTACTTCTGTCAGATACTGGTGCCCATCTGAGGTCCATAAAGTGTTTTCTTGTCTCTCCAGGAAAAAGTGATCCAACACTATGAAATGCCGCTTCATAATTGCTGTATATTTTTACTCTTATGGCTTGAGAACTGATTTGATTTGGAAAGTGAGGGAGCTGGTTTCACTGCCATGGTAAGAAAAGGCCTCTAAATTAAAAACAATACAATTAAAAATTAAAGCAATACAAATTAAAAATCAAATAGCAAGATGAAAACAGTCAAAAGACAAGCACTCAAAAACATTCACTGGTTGGGGGCTGGAGAGATGGCTCAGCAGTTAAGAGCACTGATTGTTCTTCCAGAGGTCCTGAGTTCAATTGCCAGGTGGCTCACAACCACCTGGAATAAAATCTGGTGCCAACTTCTGGCCTGCAGGGATACATGCAGGCAGAACATTGTATATATAATAAATAAATCTTTATTTAAAAAATTCACAAGCAAAAAATAATCATTTGGTGTATTGAAATGGGCTCAGCAGTCAGTAACAGTGGGTCCTTTGGCTCCACCATCAAACCATAGAATCCAAAGTTCTCAAAACACCAGGCATCATCAGAGCTTTCCCTCCTCATAGGAGTGAGGCAGCTAAAACCTAGAGAGCCTGGCTGGAACAGATGGCATGCCATTTACTAAACAATGTGTGAGTGGTATTTTATTGAATCCCCATGAAATCCTGTGAGTACATTATCTGAAGATGTCTAAGGCCTCCAAAAGTTAAGGCACTTGTTGGAGGCCCAACATTAGTAAGAAAAAAATACTGCTCCTACTTACAGACTTTCAGGGTCTGACTCGGGCAAATACCAAGAGTTTTAATTATTTCCTAATGGCAGTAGGTTCTCTATTGTGTTTAGAATGGGATAGGTCTCCCTGTAGGGCAGGTGGAAGGTTCCTGGTAGGATTTAAAATATGATAGATTTCCCTGTAGGGCAGGGAAGGGAGAGACAGATAAAACGCAGACAGATGTTACCCCAAGAGAAGAAACTGATGAAGAATGTAATGACTTGTATCCACCCGGTGATGTCAGAGAGAAAAGTCGGAGAAGACGACTAATGTGGTCCCATATAGCAGGACCCTGCATTTAGAAGGGAATTTAATGTTCTATGGCTTATCTCTTATAATTCTACATTACTTTTTGATGTAGTATAACGTGTTCTTGCAAGTAAAATCGAACGGCCAAAGGAGCATGTTACAGACACTTAAGAGTCTGGCCACATGCAGAGGCTTACACCCAAATAGGCACTCACTGCCCCTTCCCATCTCCTGCTCACCAGGATCCACCTACTCCCCTTCCTCTGTTCCCTATCTACTGATAGCTACTGCCTTTGGTTCCCTCAGAAAGGGGCTTGAAACGAGCAAGAACAGCAAGGAGATGTAAGATAGGGTTGGCTTCTCTCTGAGGTTTCTTGCTATGGGGCAGGGCAACCACCTCTGTACTCCCTGGGTGACTCAGCTAAGGGGAGCCTCTTGCCTACTTGCAATCTTGTAGCAGGGGTTGTGATGCCCTTGGAGGTCACCTATCCATCATGAACTGGGGCAATGGACCTGGAGATAGGAGAAAGGCCTATCTGAACTTTGCCCCCAGTGCCAAGGCACAGGGTGTTCAGCTGTCGCCAGGGGAAAGGAGCCTATGATAGCCATATATGATAGCTATATATGTATTCAGTGAGACAGTATGCCCAGGCATTCTTGAGGTTCTGTTTTTTCCCATTGATATCCCCCAGCCTACAGACATTACAGAACAACCTAAACACAGCCTGACAGGGCTGGGGATGTGGCTCTTGCTAGCATTTATAATGGCCTGGATTTGAGCGTCAGTGTTGTAAGAAAAATAATGAGACTAATAGGAGAGTTATTTCACTTTAGTAAGGTAAACTACATGGAAAAGTGAGGTTGTTTTCTAAATATTTGCTTTCTCTAATACCACAGGGTATGTGTCCCATGAGGCTGAACTCAAAACTACAAAAAGTTTTCCCTAAAATTCCATTCATTCTTTTCCTTCTCCTCACAGAGACGTTAAACAGAAGACCCAATCTGTCCTCAAATTTTCAAGCAAAAGTATCATTTTTAAGAGGACAGAGAAAACTCCTGTAGACTTTTGGCAGGAGTGAAGGCAGCGAGGTAAACAAAAGGGTTTGGATGCTTGAATTAACAGCTGCAAGACATGAAACTAAGGGTGCTAATGGCTACCACCACAAACCAGACGAAACAGCATCGACTTAACACTGCCAAATCACACCTCATACACCTGTCTGGCTCGCTGGAAACCCGCAATGGGTCAAAGGAACCGTTCGATACAGAAGCACACAGAACGTCCCATCCCTCCTGTTTGTGTTTTCTCATCCAGTCAAGGGTGAGGAGAGACATGTAGGGGTCTTAGGGGCTGAGAGGAAGATGTGTGGGCTCCGTGTTGGCTTGCTTCCTTTATCTGAGGTTCAGATTGAGTGCCCCTGATGTTTCTCTTCATCTTCTTCATGGTTAAATATATACTAATCACTTGCCTCCTTCCTCCTCCTCTGGTCTCTGGGTCTCATTTTTAGTTCAGACTTGTTTAGCTCCCTTGATGCTGAACGTTTTCTCTCTTCATTAACTCTGCACTGCGAGCCTCTCTCCTAACTCTGCTGGCCCAGTTCCTTTATTTCTTCACACAGCAAGTCTTCAAACATGGCCTTCCACTATCGCTCACGTTTGTCTATCACAACCCTAGAATGTTCGGGTGGTACTCGCTCTCAGCCAAGAGGCTCCAGGTCTCACACATGTGTGCACCCCACTGTAAGCTTTGACTGGTCATTCCCTCCCAGATCTTATCTGTATGCTTCATGTCACCTGAGGCTGAAAAAGGCGCTGGATTGGACCAACCTCTATCTAATCAAGACCTTTGGACAGAGAGCTTGTAAAATCAGCTAGAGTCAACCAAGAGGCCACAAATGTCCTTTATCTGCTGTTTGCATTTTGGGTCCAATCATAACACCTACACTCTCTCTTAGGAGCCGCTCTCTAAGAGGAGGAAAAACTGATCATCAGAACCCAGGAGAGACGGGATGGAATGACTGGAGGTTAGGAGTGGAGGTGGAGCAAAGCGGTTCCCTGAAAGACACTCCTACCTTTGTTATAGCATTGAAGACCTTTTCCAGAATGGCGTTTGGCTGGGCAATTTGTGGTCCATTGGCCTGGATGTTGAGGGCTATGGCACATGGTTTGGCTATGAATCTAAAGGTTTAAAAAGAAAGAGAAGAAAATAATTCAGAAATTATACTTTTTAATAACTGCTCTTAGTAGTATTACCACTTGTACATGACCAGGTCATCCTAACTAGATGCTTATCGGGTTTTATGGCGACATTCACATGGGTTAACTCTAAGGCAGACCTCATTTAAGGCCACCAGCCATCACATTACAAAGAGAAATTCTTCACAAACATTTAAATTCCTTGGCTGAGTATGGCAGCACATGCTTTTAATCCCAGTACTTGGGAGGCAGGAAGATCTCTGTAAGCCTGGTCTGCGTAGTGAGCTCCAGGACAGCAAGGGCTATGTAGAGAGACTGTCTCAAAACCAAACAACCCAAAAACAAAACAGCAAGAGAACATTTAAACTCTAATGAGAATTGGCAGTTCTGAGGAGACTCTACAGGTTAATTATATGATTGCTTAGACCATAAGAAAGAAAAGGAAAACAGTTGTACTGGACTGAATCGTCAGTGAACATGTGAGAGACATAAATACATAATATATAGTCTCTGGACAAACATGTGCAGCCATGTTATTATTCCAGCGTGCTCACTGAGCAGCTGAGGTCCCATGGAGGGCGTGTGCTTTTCACCACTCGTGATAGATACAGCCATTCTGTCTCCATCATCAATGGATGTAGTACTGAGCCCTAATCCTTTTCAGTTTGATAATTTCTTGCTTTGCGGGTCACCCTCCACCCTGGCTTCTTCCTCCTAGGAAGCAATGAAGAATGACAAATGACAAGCCATCCCAGACAAGCTAAAGGCTGAAGGGTTTAAACGCATGAGTCAGATTGTTTTTATCCTAAGCGAATGCCTACGCCAAGATGAACAGGAAGAATGAGCCTCATTTCCCATGTCCGAACGAGGGTCTGAGAGGGATGTGTTCTGCACTGGGCCCTGGTGGGACAGTGACAAGTCTATAAAAACTGCATTAAAGGAAAAGTATTTATGTCTCCAAGATGTTTTAGGCTAACTATTCGAGAAATAAGTTTCTATAATACTTCAGTGGTGATGCGGAGTGTCTGCCACCAATTTAATAGCATATCAGAGTATTACTAAGATAATTCAATGGTTGCCACGGGCAACAGCCAATAAATGCATAAAACAGATCAGCAGTGAGCCTTAGGTGAGGCTTATTTAGCAAAACTCCACAAGATTAAAGCACAGGAGCCACAGCACAGAGAGTAGTAAGACAAAATGTGGAACTAGAACCCATGTGATGAAGAAAGTCACCCACATTGGACAACTTCAGGCCTGAGCTAGGAGAGACACACACCAAAGGGGCACCATCGTCTTTGTTACCCTGGGGTCTCGGGACAAAGGGGAAGAAGGAATTCCTACCTCTCCCTACTCTGTAAGTCTCTGGGAAACGGGACAGCTCTTCAGAGCCTTGCATTCTTGGTCCCTTCTGGCGTGACACATTAGCAACACCTTTCTCTTTTCCTTACAATTCCAGGTCTTCTCACCAACCAGGTACCCACCCACAGTTGGAGCTCCCATTGGGAAAGACTCAACTCATCACTTCATGGGCACTGACCACGGGCAAGTCCAGAACTTGTTTCTGCCCTGGGCTTCCACTTGATGGCCACTTTCACAATGCTTAGCAGAAGATGTCAAAAGACACGCGTGCTGTGAAGAAAATAGGCTAAATGGGTAGACCCAACATGTAAGGGCTGAACTTCACTCGCCAATGACTGGTTCCCACTCTTCCTCACTGGATCACTGGATTTCTCCTCAGTCCTTGTTTTAACTGTTCCCTCAACCTCAGACACACTGTGTTTAAACTCCTTTGGGATTCTGGCCCCACCATCTTTGTAACAACCTGCCTGTTAAAAATAAGTGATCACTTCCTCTTTATATATCTCAAGCATGGGATGGGATTCCTTTCCCAAGAAGGTCAATGTAATAACGAGCTGGCCATGTCAACCCTAGCCAAGGTAAATCCCAAATTCTAGAAAATCAGGCGTGGTACATTAGAAGATGAAAATTGAGTTAAGAGAATTTAAGTCATTTAAATGAAGACATTTAAAATGTAAATGGTCCATAGTGAGTATACACAATAAATCAAACCCCATGAATTTTTTTAAAGAAGGTACTGTGTCATTGGATGCTCTTATTTATACAAACAGAATACTGTGAACAGTCAGCAAGTGTTTGATGGATAAAAGGATGTGTGGCCAAGCCCAGTGGGCTGTATGTTTTTAATTGCCTTGAATATCACATCAAGTCAGGGTCATCTAGTACTCAGAGGTTAGGAGACTGGCCTTTCCGGTACTAGAAACCATTTTCTCAATTCTCGTTACCCCTCTGCCATCAACCTTTCCCTTGGGTAGGCTCACTCAATCCATATGTTTGTTTTTGTTTCTGTGTTGTTTTCTCCACAACTTGGCCAGTACAGAAAAGCAATACTAAAATTTCAAGGTAAATAACCACAGGAAAAGTTAAGCCCCAATACTCAACAAGAAAAAGAACAGTTAACTTTATTGTTCATAGATATCCTCAGCAACAGGATGATATAGAAATTTCATTTGTGTGTATTCTCCGAAGAATTTGTGAATCATCTCCGGTATTTTTTTTCAGAGAACATATTAAATTCCAAATAAAGCCCATGTCACAGCTACTACAATTTTATTACTTTCTGTCACAGTCCATTAGAGGGAAAAATGTTGTTTCTAATGATAGACCAAAGAGAAGAAGTGCACAAAACACTTTCACAGTGGTGGGTGGGATGGAGGGAGAAGGACAGGGAGAGAAAAGAAAGGAGAAAAGGAGGGAGGGAGGAGAGGAGGGAGGGAGGAAGAAGGGGGAGGAGAAAGAGGAGGGAGGGAGGAAG